ACCGAACGTGCTCCAGTCCAAACAGTGCGTACGTGCGATCCACAACTTTGAAATATTCTAACGGATGACGACTGGTTTCACGTTAACATAAAAAGCGTTTCCCCATTTAAAGAATTATGTTCTTTAAGATCTCTCCCTCATCTCGTAGGTCAGCTCCAAGTCACCGAACATCCAGCATGTGACAGCTGCGTCCTCTGTCTGCCCCCGTCCGTCCCGACCATCAGGCTGCACTCCGCCTCCACCTTACACCCGGCAACAGCGAAGCTAACGCGGCGTAGCAACTGTGACCCTATGTGAGGTCACCGCTGCAGTCGAGGCGGTGCCTTCACAGACCTTGTGAATTATATGTAATATTACCCAGTGGTGCAAGAAGTGTTCGGATTCTTTACTACAGTAAAAGTAGGAAAACCAGATTGGAAATAATCCACTGCAAATTAATGCGAATAAAAACATAGTTAAGTTAAATGATGTAAAATGTACTTAAAAGTATGATTATAAAACATATTCTAATGCTGAAATACCCCTTTTGTTTTGTTTTGCTGTAGTTGGTTCAGGTTGAGCTACTTTGTTCCATTTTAAATCCTTTGATTGTTTGACAGACAAAAAAAATAATGCTTTGTTTTTATGAATGGATAATGTTTTGTATGTAGAAATATAAATCTGAAAAGTAACTAGTTACAAAAGCTGTGAGATTACTGTAGTGGAGTAAAATGTAGAACGTTTCCTCTTGAAATGTTGTGTAGTAAAAATTGAAATACAAGTAAAGTTCAAGTGACTCAATTTTTATTTAAGTAGAGTACTAACATTTATTTAGTTAGTGTTCAATCCTGGTGATTAGAATAATACCCAACATTGGAAGAAGTATTCATAAATGTTACTGTAAAAGTGTAGAGTAAAATAAAAAATAAATACTTGTGTACAGTACTTACAGTAAGTATATTTGATTAATAACATGTAACCACTGGAATTAGCATCGTCTTTAAATACTCTTTTAGGCTCAAATTAAATGTCCTTAATTCAAAATGTTCTGTAATCAGCTAAATAAAAATAATTATGCATAATGACTTAAATAAATGTTATACATCATTTTTTGTGTGCAAAACGTTACTAGTAGTAGCCTTAAGTGAGTGGATTTGAAATGGATATTGCAAAGAAAAGCAATGTCTTTTAGTATGATGGCTGATCACTGCATACATTAATGCAGGATAAAAGGTTAATACTAGTTTGCGATGTGCAAGTCTTGATAGAAACAGTTGTGATATAATTAATCTGTTTTTGCTGGAATAATTTGAATAGGAGACTAGTCACTACACGCTAAACAAGTGTTGTCAACTCTGCACTTCACTTATGCCTTAAAGGCTTTAGATAATTGATAACATACAGGTGATTAAACTTGTGGCTGATCAGAGGATAGTATAGATGTCTACAGACTCGTGTAATTCTCAGTTTATCTCTGTACTGCTTTAATCCGGGCAGTTTAATTAAATAGCTACTAAGTGAAAACACCTTTGTATGTAGGTCAATACATCTTATGTTGTAGTTAACTTACTTTTCTTTCCAAGAAAATCACAAATTAATAAGCACAACAATTGATTGTCAAGCACACTGATGAATACACAATGAGACAAACAATGTTCCTTGACTGCAGTGACCTCTTTAATTTTTGCAAACTAAAGGAAAACCCAATTTAATTGTTTAAAAAAAAAATACACATGATTGCTTTACTGTGACAATACTCTACTAATACTCTACTGGTGACCGGTTTGGTGCACTTATTTCAGGTAGAAACAAAAACATCTTCATTCTTCAGTATTTAACATGACATGCAAACTGATTTATTCAGATAAGAGGAGGGCATTTACTTGTCCTACAACAGCAGATGTGAGTAATTTGCACAGAAACATACAAATCCATCCCAAACATTTAGAGTTCAAACAGGTGTTCTCATTAAGCCTTGGCGGGCCCAATCATTGGTGCCGACTGCTGGTTCTGTTGCAGCTGCTGGATCTTCACGTTCATTACTTCAATCACAGCTGCAATAAAGAACAAAATGTGCACAGTGAATACACAGTCTGTGAGATACTGTCATAATAACATATTGTTTTCTGGAAATGATGTTTTTTGGAAGCATATATATTAATACATTCATTTTATTTGTGTAATATATTCTGCTGTTCAGTGTTCAAGAAAATAATCCTTGTATATTTTAGGGAAAGTCTCACTGGAAATCTAGTGAAAATAGCTTTGTAATCATTTGATTTATAAACCCCTATGCATAATAATTACAGTACTTAGTATACAATTCTTTCAAATTATACATTGGACATGCCTTTTAAGAAATTGCAATGACAACGTGAAAAAAGAAGACAGATATCTATACAAATCTAACTTACCTTGCTTCATTCCATGTTTTTCCTGAAGCGCTGGCTGAATTTTCTCTATCTGCTTTGTGAGGAAGTCTATCTTGCGTTTGAAGAATTGTTTTGAGTCTTCCACATTCTAACAGACAAGTTGAGAGTTTAAATGTTTTACATGAGAATCATTTACATTACATTTTTACACAAGTTATTCAGCATCAAATTATTTATGGACAATCAAATACAAAATATATTTGCCTTTTCAACATAGTAGCCTGTCCCAACATCCACTAGCACATTTTCCACATCATTTAATGATCCAGGGACGTACATCTGAGAAGAAGAAACGTTAAGGACAAGTCTGTAGATCTCAAGAAACACAACTTCATTTAAATCACATCACAAGATAAATATATATTTTTACAATGTAAAACAAAGGATACAGAGCTGGTGAGTGGCACGAGCAGTTCCTTTCCTGTATGAGAATAAAGAGAAAGGAAAAAATAATAAAATTGACTTCAGCAGCAGATGTAGTGGATGATATCAAACACTTTCATCAAACTGACATTACACCTTATAAAATATAATGCATATTTAAAGCACATACTTTTGCAACAGAATGAGTGGGCCAATTCAAGAGAACCGTTTTTACGTTAGTGAGAGAAAGTCTTGAAAAGTTTGACAGCTGTACTCATCACATTTCAACATCAAGAAGAGTGTAGTATTAATTATCAAAGCAAATTAAGATCCACAGATGTCCTCAATTAGCCAGTCACTCCAGTAACTCTGTTAAGGTGCATCTTTGTCCCCCAGCTACACTTCCTCTCAATATTCCTAAGGTGGTCAAATATTGTATGCATGTCTGCCTGTGTCAATATGTTGAAATCTTCAGAGCCAATAGCCTTCTGATGCTATGCTCTTTAATACAACCTGAACATTGTGTAGAGGTTTTCTTCACTTTTTATATTTATTTCTACACAGTGACTGGTCAGATTTTATCAGACTGCATTTGAAACATCCCTCTATCTTCTGCTTTTGACTTCTACTGCCAGTATAGTCCTTAACATTAACTTTCAGTGATTTAGATCCAGAGTCATATTAATACTCACCTTTATTTTTTTGGTTCATGACGTTCATACTGTCTTTTGCTTCAACATATTTCGTCTGGACAACTTTGAGCTGACCTATTGAGGAAGTCAAGAACTCAACCTCCTGCAAAACATTCACATGTACAAAAACACCAGACATTAGAGAAGATACACCAAGCGAACACACCTGTCCAAAGCCATATATAGCTAAAACGTACTTATTAACCACATGTGTTCCCACCTCATATGTCACTTTTTTTTTATTTACTGTTATCTACATGTGTTAAACAATGCCGGACAGTCACATCACGTTAACATGTTCAGCTTGCACACCAGGCTCTGGGTATTTAATTACCGTTAGCTTCAGATGTGCTAGCTCGCCCCCCCCCACGCCCTCCCGTTTTCATTCAGATACTCGCCCACATAAAGACAATATAAAAGAGCACAGCGACATTTAATACGAACACACTACACACATATTACCTGATCTAGTTGGGTTTTGAGTCCCTCCAATTGAGGCAGGGAGAGGTCTGTGAGATTCACCGCCATGTTGGTAGCGCGATGCGAGATGACCCTTCGTGATTGTGTTTCCGGGTGAAGGGTGTGGGCAGGGATTTGTCTGAAACACCGCCCTCCTGTGGACAACAAAATAATTGCACCTGCTTCTTCCACCGAGAACTCAATTGTGCCATAACAGTCATTTGGTATGATGTAAAACAAGAAAACGTTATGAAAAATAACAAAACGTTTGTTCTGATTGGTCATAAGTCAAGAAATGTGGTACGGACATATTTTGGGCACATTTTAGATGACATAATACAAATGTTTACCATTTTTTATTTATGTCTAGTCAGAACTTTGTTTTAGATCTGGAATAACACTGAAATTGTGTTTGGTGTATTGTATAGGATTTATTTTCACTGCACGTCTGCATTTATTCAATATGTAACTTGTTATGAGCTTATGGATACCAATATCTTGATTGTGTTCCTTGTAGTGTCTGAGATAAAGCCATTATCTTATGACGCTTTATCTAGTCTTTTACACATGGGGAAACAGTTTTTTCCCCCCTTATATATATATATATAATCAATTCTATACAGTATTAGTAATAGTCCCATGTGCCCAAAGAATAAATATAGTATAAAATAAGCATAACTCTTTAATTCAATAAGTACAAATGTCAGAATGCACTTTGAAGTTCAAGCCAATTTCATTATTGCTAGAGGAATTGTATATATCAGTAGAAACTTATGGATTTTATACTTTAATTTTGTCCGGATGTTTTTCATAAATTATGTGAATTCAACACCTTTAACAATACATGGCCATATGTCAGAAGTAAAGAAACTAGTATTGTAAAAAGATATGATGTATAAGATTAAACTTGTTACCACAGTAAACTGATTTTGTACCAAATAAAAAGTAACTTGTTCATAGTTACACAGCATGTTTCTTGTAGATTGTTAATAATACTGTATGTATAATTTTTCCCAGCTCTTTACATAATAGTGACTAATAATAAAGTCATTTTCACAACGCAGACACCGACTGTATGCAAGAACACATTTTATTGAAATTGTTTGATTACATAAAAAATGCATTCAACACCAATTGCTAATAATAGCAATATAATAAAAATCATTCACACCGCAGTAAAAACATTAAAAAAATGGAAGCATCGGTTTAAATAGAGAAGGCAGTTCTTTGATCTTCAAGTCATATTCTCAAAAAATTGCAACTTTAAAAATATGTTAACATCCAGATATTAAAAAGGGTTTGAAGTCCATCTACTGCAGGTGAAGTGGTAAGCCATAGACCACAGGAGCCGCTCCGATGAGGTACTTCAGGTGTGTGGCCTGGCGTGACGGGCCCATATAATCCAGGAGGGGGGCTCCAGACCCAGCAGAGAGCCAAGACTCCAACAAGTACTTGGTGAAGCGATCAATATCCCGATCTGTAACATCCCACAGGTTCCCCAAAACGAAGGGGCTGAGGAGAAAAAAAAGAAATAAAATGTATTAATAGTATTTATGATTATCACTGATCCTTATTCAGCTGCAAGTAAAGATGGGTATCTCACCAGCCTGCTATGAGATAGTTGAGGATGATGCCTTGTCCTTCCTGATCCCCGCGCACTGCCAGAGCAGCACTGCTGCAGCCGAAGAGCAGAGCCGCCGCTCTCATCTGACGCTTCAGGACCGTCTGGCTGTCCAGGAATCGTGCACCTGCACCGTGACCCACGTAACTAAAGATACACAGGGTAACACGGTGTAACATTGATGTTATAACGTAAAGCAGGATAGAATCTGGTGAATAATTCTTAATAAAACAGTTAAATACTGTTAGGTAAATGCTATCCTCTTCTGCATACTTGTAATATAAATGTTTTAACTTTTGACTGGGACCTTTGAACAGAAAATGATCTGCTTAAGGCCTGCAACTGTTAATTTTATGCGGACATATTTTGTTTCCACAGCCTAAAACCTAAGAAAAGTTTATTCTCAAAGATTCAAAATGAAATGATTACTGTACAGACAATTGGAGTAATCATCACGTTTTTTGACTGTGTAGAAACCAACTCCATCTTGCAGTGTTGAGAACTGTAATTATTGGTTTTATCCTCAGCCAGCCAGGTATTGAAGATCAAATACTCACATGTATAGATCCTTGGTAGCAACAACTTCTTCCAACTGACCCGTGTCAGGAGCAACTCCACACACACCGTCCCAATCCGGTTTGCTATAACAAGATTTGTAAAGTAGTAAATGGGAAGAAAACACACCGTGGACTGAAAGACAAATGATATTGTTTCCCCCATGAGTGTTGGTCTCACCTGCTGAACCATTCCTTGAATCGCTCTTGAGAGTTTTCTAAATTGGCATCAGGGTTCAGCACATAAAACACCTGCTTTGTATCCACACCTTGCTTCAGGATGGAGTCAGAGTCATTCTGAAGGAGAAGATGTAAATAACAACAAATCAGTGCTATTTGTCAGTAAACATACACACACATAGCAAAACCAGTGTCATTCCTCCAGTTTTCTCCTTCAATTTACACAGTTGTGGTGATAGACACCACTGAACTTCACTGGGAGGAAGTTAAACAGCACCTTCACAGGCCATATTGGCTCAGTAATAGATCTTAAATCTTACCTCTTTCTGAATGCTCAGTCCAATCAGTGAGTGCAGAGAAGGCATCCGGCTGACCGAGCGAGACCTTAACATGGAGATGCTCTCCCATGGCAGCTTCTGAAGGTACTGGAAACGTAAGGATAGAAGATTAAACCTCTACATTTGGGAGAAAAAAGGCTTCCAAAAGCACTACCAATGTTTCTCTAGGTTACAAAAAGTTAAATCTAAAGACTTAAAACACATAGAATTAAATTAAACCCAGTAGTGGTCAGACTTAGTCATTTACGATGGAAAATAAGTGTTGACAACAAGTCGAAGACCTACAATAACTAAGTACATGGACCAAATTAAATGATTAGTTAAGAATACAAGTATAGTATAGAAACAGCAAGAACTAGCTAAAATCAATTATAAATACAAAAAACAACAACAATACAACAGATTTATTCTGATGAAGATCCACTTTATTATTTGCAGGTAACAATAGTAGAACATTCATTTTGATAACATGTCAGAGCTTTCTTCCAAATACAAAGCAGACTATAGGATAATGAAGTATTTAACAAAGCTAATGAAACCAACCTTGTCCAGGATGAGAACCACATGGCCGCGGGGCTCTTCTCTGTCAGCGAGCCGGGTCACAGCTGTAAGAAGCAGCTGCTCACACTCTGTGTCCCACTGTGGAGAAACTCCGAGACCAAATCTCCTTAGGTCTGCTTGGGAGAGCTCAGGGGAGGCAGAAAGCAAAACCTGAAACACAAGAGTCAAAGTGTTAGGGTCTGCCGTTATGCTGTTCCTAAATGGAAGGTCTGATGCTGCTGCTAAAGGTCCATGGAGCTAAAAACAACACACACCTTTAACATGTCCTCGCTAACTGTCACTCCCTTTGCAGATAAGGACTTGCAAAGGTGCCGGGCTTGTCTGGAGGGCTCAGGGTCCGATGAAAGAGGTAGAAGAAAGCTCCTCCAGCATCCGAGCAATCTCTCCATCTCCTTCAACAGTCGCTGAAAGAAAAGAAGTAGGAGCTAAATTAGACAAAAACATTGATTGTGTGTCCTGTCAGTGGAAGTGTATAACTGAAGTATATCTATGTGAATAGAACAGGCATTGTAAACCCTTCAGGGTCCCGGGCAGCACCCTCGGTCTACCCCCCCCCTCCCCTTACCTCAACTCGAGAGTCAAGCGCCCAGCGGCCCTCCCACCACTGGGCTTTCTCAGACACGCAGCTCACAGCCTTCTGCTCCACCTGAATGCTATCGATCTCCTGCACCAGCCAACTGATGGGGTGCTGCAGAACACATAGACAGAGACAGAGTTATAATCTTAGATGTTAAGGATGAACAAGATTATTTCATTGCAAGATACTTTTTTGTTGAATTTAGTGTGACATATTTACTAATTGATGCAAAGAAAGCAGATGCTGTGTTCACCATTTTGGGTGTATGTGGGGTATTACATTACATGTCATTTGTTAGATGCTTTTATCCAAAGCGACTTACGGCCAGTCCACACTACAGCTTCAACAGCTTCAAAAACGGTTTCCAATGCGTCTGCCCATTCACTTTGAATGGGGTGACGTCACGCTGCCTTGCTTTTCGCTGAACTGAATTGTGGGTAGCAGAGCGGAGCTTTCCTGGCGTTTCAGGCTGCAAAAGTTGAGCAATGTTCAACTTTTGAAGCTTCTGAAGCTTTCGGTGGAAGCGTCAGCCAATCAAATCATATGCCAGTACAAGCTCTAGCCAATCAAACCGCTGCTTGTGTGTCAGGGGCGGGAGATTCATGTGATTGGTTGTTGGTCGAGCTTCAGACACGCCCGCCGGCAAGCTTTTTTTGAAGCTGTAGTGTGGACGGGCCGTTACATACTCAATACTGTGGGCAATCCCCACAGGAGCAATTTGGGGTGAAGTGTCATGCCCAGGGACACAACGACATGGGCAGTGGGACTCAAACTTGCTATCCCCTGATTCGAAGTCCAGCACACTATCCTCTGAGCCACAGCCTCATCATATTTACATTAATTTAAACTACAATAGTAAAAACAATTATTTTGCCAGGTTACTTGATAAAGAATGGACGTGTGAGCATGGGAAAATTCACCATGTTTCTTAAGCTGTAAGTAATTACAATGGTCTGGTTTCAGATTGTGTCTACCTACTCGTACCACAATTTGCCATCCTCACCCGTTGTTTCGAGGTGGAGATGTGAACAGTGACCGGTGCAGCTCCCTTTTCAAGGCGGGACAATATGATGCTGTCACCGACCTCTCCAGGTTTTACTCCAAGCACAGACAGCACACACACTGTCACCCCTGTAAAGGGAAAGAGAGGGATGCACCAAGAGAAAGGAGTTTGCTTATCTTATTAGGAACGGAAGCATCCAGTAATCTGAATTAAATCAAGTCATTAACAAGACAAAACCTTAAAATGTTCCCATTTTGCTACTGAGATCTAGATTCTTTACCTGTGGGAAGGTGTTGAATTTGTTGGGTAAACTCTTGGCAGTGGCTCTTGGGGAAAGACGATGAGTCAGCAGTTGAGAAGGAGAAGATGTTCTCCAACTGTGCCAGCCTCTGTTCGGTAGAGTTCATTGAATCGTTCGGGCCGGGCTCACCTAGACTCAGAGCATCCATCTTGTCTGTGAGCTCATTGGAAGCCTTTTTCAGCTTTCTGTTTAAAACACATCAAGGGAATGTGAATTAAACAATGTGTAAAATCATTGAATTTGGGATATCTGGATAAAAAACCCGAAATGTTGGTCAGAGAGAAATCTAGACTTCACAATATACAAACAAGATGCTTACTTGAGACAACTAGCTAAATGCCTGATTGTGTGATGACGACTTGTGATTCCCAAAGACTGGGCGTGCAGCATCGCTGTAGTTATGGGGTCCTGCTGTCCCTTGGTCAACGCCAGTAAAGCACAAAGGGTGGTGTAGATGGAGGGGGAGGGAAAGTGCTGGAGAGCCAGCCAGGCTGAGAGGAGCAACGACTCAACATCCTCCAGAGAAAGATTGTCTGAGAAAAAGAAAAATTAGATGGGATTCGATTAACAAAGTTAAACAGCTACCTATAACGGCCCGTCTACACAGCAGCGTTAAAAAAAATCTTCCAACGCTTCTCTGCCCATTGACTTTGAATGGGGTGACGTCACTTTGCCTCGCTTTTCGCCGAACGGCATTGTGGGGAAGCAAAGCGAAGATTTCCAGGATTTTCAGGATTCAAAAGTTGAGCAATGTTCAACTTTTGAAGCTGAGGTGGAAGCGTCAGCCAATCAAATCCTGTTTATGCAAATCTGACCGTACAAGCGCTAGCCAATCAAACCGCGTGCAAGCTGGGAGAGCCAGACCGCAGTTTATTTTCTATATTCCTGAAAATGGAGGAGAAATTAGTTATTGCGATAGCAAATCACCCGGTTCTTTATGACCAGTCGCTAATAACTTACCGGGATACAAACCGGAGGAACCAGGCATGGAGGGAGGTGGCAGAGACAGGGTGAAACTGGTAGGTTTTGACCTGTTTGGGGATTTTATCGCCAGTTGTACCTTCGTTTTAACATGCTTATTGCTTTGTATGTCGGGGGGCGGTGAGATTCATGTGAATTGGTGTGGTTCGCAAAAAAATCCGCCCTTTCAGACACGCCCAAGCTCCGAAGATTGTCAAGATTTTTTGTAAGCTGCTGTGTGGACGGGCCTGTACAGTTTAAGGGGCTGCTGACATCTTTATCTCAGCTTCTGGCTGATCAACCACAATGCTGAACTAATGTCCATAGAGATACAGAGTGGCGCGAGATTAAAAGGCAAATAAACAAGACAGACCGTTGCTTTGATTAAAATGACTGATTCTCTGGAGTTTGAGCGAGCGAGTGAATAATGCAGACTACCGGTAATTTTCGGACTATAAGGCGCACGCTGAATAAAGCTGCAGCAGACGTAAATTGAGAGATGTGTACATATATAAGCCCTCACTGACTATAAGCCGCAGGTGTGTGTCCTTGTTTATACGTTTAATAGTGATTTCAGGGTTTTGTAAAGGTTCGGGCACTCTCATAGAGTGTGTTGTAGTGTCAGTTCGAGATAGAGCATGGCGGTTTGTGAGGATAAGTCCTGTTTTATAATTAAACTATTTTGGTGTGTCTATATAGTCAGGCGTAGTTTGGGCATATACGAGAGATGGTACTCATTGGGCGCTGGAAAGTAGTTAGCTACAGAACAGTTGTGGGGGGGGGCTGTGTAAACTGTACTGTATCACATAGCGTTGGGTCAGACACGAAACTTTTCAAGCTTTCAGAACTTAAACAGTTGCGGCTCCCAGGCGCACGGTACCGCAGTGATCGAGCAGTGGTTTTTCAAACCAGTTGTACGGGGACCAGCTGTGTTGGGTAACGCGTTACAAAAAGTAACGGAGGTCTACAGTAAGTATCTTACTGTTTTGGCTGGTACACGAAGTAAGTGTAACGCGATTACTAATCGAAGATGTGGGTAATATATTACCCGTTACAATGCTCGAGAGAGCGCAGTTACAACACCATTGTGTAACCGCGAAATTAAA